TGAGATGATATACAATGGAATGAATTTAAAACTAAAGTTCTCCCATGTAAACTATCATATAATTCACAATAAAACATAAAAAAAAAAAAAGTTGCAGCAGTATGTCCACAGGGAAGTGCCAGAAGTTCAAACCAGATTTGCAAGACAACATGAAGCTAGAGATGTCATTGCTGATGTCAGATGAATCTTGGTTGAAAGCAGAGAATACCAGAAAGATGCTGAGCTGTGTTTTATTGACTACGCAAGAGCACTCAATTTGTAGATCATAACAAATTATGAATGAATGGGAATTAGGAAGAATTGGAATTCCAGAACAATTGTACTCATAGCGAACCTACACATAAAGCAAGAAGCAGATGTTCAGACAGACCAAGGAGATACTTTGTGGTTTAAAATTAGAAAAAGTGTGTGCCAGGATGGTATCCTTTCACCATATTTATTCAGTTTGTATGCTGATCAGATAATCTGAGAAGCTGGATTATATGAAGAAGAAAAAGGCATTGGAATTTAAGGCAGAGTCATCAACCTGAGATATGCAGATGACACAAACTTGCTTTCTGAAAGGGAAGAAGGCTTGAAGCACTTACTGATGAAGATCAAAGACTATAGCCTTCAGTATGGATTATACACTTCAACATACAGAAAACAAAAATCCTCACAACTGGGCTGCTAAGCAACATCATGAAAAATGGAGAAGAGATTGAAGTTGTCAAGGATTTCATTTGACTGAAGCCGCAATCAATTCCCATGAAAGCAACACTTAAGACATCAAGTTGTGTATTGCAATTAGCAAATCTGTTGCAAATGACCTCTCTAAAGTGTCCAAAAGCAAAAAATGCTACTTTGAGTGCTAAAATACACCATGGTATTTTGAATCATCTCCTAAGTATGCCAAAACTGGACAATGAGTAAGGAAGAGCAAAGCAGAATTGATGCCTTTGAATAATGGAGAATATTAAATACGCCATGGACTGCCAGAAGAATGAACAAATCTGCCTTGAAAGTACAGCCAAAATGCTTTCAAATACTTTGTATCAGGATGGACCAGTCCTGGGAGAAGGACATCATGCTTGGTAAAGCAACTAGTCAGCAAAAAAGAGGAGTGTTTTCTATGATGAGATTAGATGAGTTGATACAATGACTTCAACAGTAGACTCTTGCATAGTACTGATTGTGAGGCTAGAACAGAACTGGAACATATTTTCTTTGTTCTATAGAGGATCACTGAGTCAGAACCTACTCCATGGCACTTATCAACAAGAAAAACTGTTTTTTATTAAGGCTCTTCTTTGTGATAGCAGCATATATCAGGATTTGATGGGGAAGGATACTTAGTTTCCCGGGAAAATGAAAGGGGCTAACACTGTATCTTTCTACTTGCTAACCAAAAGGGAAAGATTCCAAAAGTATAAAAAGGGCCAATGTTGATGAAGGGTTCAGAGGTTTATCCATTTTATAATTACTTCCTTGTGAAGCATCCATGGGAACAGGTAAGGATTGACAGACAGTTGGATAATCTATAACTCATCTAAATCATGCTAATGCTGTATAATGATAGAACTTCCAGTTGTTTAGTGTCCAAGAATCATAGACATTAATTTGTAAAAATACCAATATTAAAGGGTTTAACTCTTGATGTAGTTGTAAGTAGTACAAAGGCTATACTGCGGATTTTTGTAAACTGAGAACATGTGGGGGATTCTTTAGGATCACTCTGCCACCAAGTCTCTGTGGGGGGAGGGTGGAAGCTTACAAACATGCTGCTGCCTGGCTCAGTGCTTCTGGGCTCTTTTTCTGCTTAAGGCAGAGATATCAGATATTAGCCAAGAGTTCCCAGATGGTTTGGAATCAGCATCCTTTACAAACAGCCTTGTTTGCTTGTGATGCATATTAATGTATAATGATAAATGTGTGACTGTACACCTAAAAGAATCACCTACTTACTCAGAATTCCTAGCGAGACATAAATAAAGTAGGCTAACACATCACAGTTTCATTTAGTCTTCATAAAAATAAATCTGTTCATTGGGGCATTCAAAAGAAAACGGCTTTTTTGTTTGTTTTTTTTTCCCTCTCTTTTATACAGTGAATAGATTTCTGGTTCAACCTTTGTTATCTTTTGGAATAGACAGGCCCCTCCTTGGAATGTCTGACTATTTTGCTGAATGTGCAGAGTCGGCTTCCTCCCAGAGAAATGCTCTGAAAGAAGTGTATGTCCAGTGTGTTTCCTTTTTCTTAGATTTTGACTGCATGTATGCATAGACTTCCGGTCTGGTGCTGTAAAATAAGCACTGTAGAATAATATATTGCAAGGTCAGTTGTTCAAACCACCAGCCACTCCTCAGACACCCTACACAGGGTCACTATGAATCAGAATCGACTTGATGGCACATAATACCACCACCACATGTAAGGATAGCTAGCTAGCATAGATTCGAGAAATAAACGAGTTCTCTCTCTGGCACTGACTCCCCACTAAGTCACAAGCATTTCTTCCTCATCTCTTGTACTGTTTATCTTGCCGTTTATCTAGTGGTGGTGGTGGTGGTGGTTATGTGCCATGGAGTCGGTTCCGACTCATACTGACCCTGTACAGGGTTTCTGAGCTGTAAATTTTTACGGGGGCAGAAAAACTCATCTGTCTCCCACGGAACAGCTGGTAGTTTCAAACTGCTGACCTTGCGGTTCGTAGCCAGATTCGTAACCACTACGCTACCAGAGCTCCTTTTATATAGTCCAGCAGTGCATATTTGCTCACAGGTGTGTTGTGAGGGGGTGATTATCCTCTTTGAAGATGAAAAACACTTGGTGGTGGTGCTTTTCCTACAGCGTCCAGAACGGCTACAGACAGATATAAAAAAATCATTTTCCAAAGATGCTTTTTTCAGCACTAATATAATAATATCACTGCTTGCTGCAGTAAGGTCATGAATATATATTTGATTCCAGACAAAGCTTCAGCCAAAATAAATACGTCATCATTTTGAGGTTGGTGGTTTGAGAAACTTCTTGTCATTCAGAAGCTTGTAAATATCTATACTGGAGTCAGTGTCTTTAGTATCAAAATTCTCATAAACACACAGCCTCTGCTTTGGGTGGATCAGAGCATCTACCTCTACAAAAATATCAATATATCCCCATAGGTAATATTTCACATTAATATCTGAAACTTGATATTTAGCCTGAATATCTTAACTACCTGCCTTAGTTAAAACACAAGCTCCTAAAATGAATAGAGAGAAATACTGTTAACTGATAGTACAGGAGGGGCATTGTAATCATTGTAATGAAACAAAGTATATGATTTGTTGAATGTAATTTGCCCTGTAAACTTTCACCAATTCACAATAAAAACTAAAATAAAAAAACCAACCGACAATCAGACGCAAGCTCCATCATGACTCCATTGGTAACCCATGGAGTAACATACAAACTGTATTCTCATGTACTGGAAAGTGTGAAGACTACTGCTAGTCCTCTCCGGATTGAAACACGGAGTTTTCTAGATGTGCAGGATGGGGAGGCTCTTTTGTCAAGTGTAGGAATATGTGTAAAGGAGAATGTGGGGGAAACCATGACCATTACAGCTTTATAAAATAAAAAATCCTTTCTTGTCGTTTTAGTGTGCAAAGAACTGAAATAAAAAGTATCGCGAGTCTATCCCAGACCAGCAGGACATTGTGGGAACATCTAGTGACTCAGAGAGCGCCAGAAGGGGGAGTGGTGGCCAACCTTCATCTAGTCCCCATCAGAATCTATGGGACCAGCAAAGGATTACATAAAGGCAGTTGGAAGCCACTGGGGGCTTCCTGTGCGAAAGCTGGAAAATGTTCATCAGACGCAGCCAGAAAACACTAGCAGCCAGCAAAAACTTCATCCTGGGGAGCGGTTAAAGACAGGCTTCTAAGCGGGAGCCTGTCTGTAGCTGTGAGTCAGCATAAGCAAGTCCAATACAAAGTCCATGAATGACCAAAGCACAACAGAAATGCAGAAGACATCGACCACCACAAGAGAGTTTCTCTTGGAAGTGATCAATTAGTCCCAAGAGAAATAATCATGGGAAAAAAAGCAAAGGCAAAGCTGTCAGGGTTTTGCCAGCGTTAGAGTTGTCAGATCCGGGATTACTTTTGAGACAAGATTTGGCAAAAGCCACGTCTAATGAGGAGTTGCATGTTTTGGAAAATCTCTCCTCCAGACATCTCATGAAAAATAACCCAGAGCAGGCACAGCAAACCAAGTCAGCCACAAGCATTGAATGATTATCTACGAGTTTGCCCTCTTGTTTAGATGCCAAACCAAGAAAAGAAAAAAAATCCTAAAGAGGCCACCAACATTAGAGAAGATTGCAAAGTCATAGGTGAGGCCATGTGGCCAGCTGGGAAAGGAGAGTGGTGTGTATAGACAGCACAACTTTTAAAGGCAGCGGAATTCTTATTTTAAATCAGAAGTATCTCTCTGTAATGGGCTTAACTTTCAAAGCCATCACCTCTGGGAAGCTAGTGCTTATTCTAACAATATTGCTACTTTTTTGTCTTGCTTCATAACTATCTTCAGAAAAGTATCTTAGTGAGCAAGACAGAGGATTTATGCTGCCAGTGATGACACCAGTCTTTGGGAAGATAGCATGAAGAAACCAATCATGTGCCTCATCAGAATTTCACTGTGCAGTCCAGGCTCTGGGCCGTGTGTTCAACTTGGTGCCGTGATGCTGCTCTTCTGGTCTGGAGAACAACTGAACCTTCTATGCCTGCACCTAAGTAAGGGAACATCAAAGGAATAGGCTCGTAGTTCTCACCACGTGGTCCTAGGACCAGCATCATTGTCTGGAATCTTGGTAGAAATGTAGATTTCCAGGCCTCATCCCAGACCTACTGGATGAGACCCTCGGGTGATGCTGCTGCTGAGGATGCAAGCTCAAGTTTAAGAACCACAGGACCAACTGGAGACTCTCTGGTGCTCATTTTCTCCAGCCTGACTACTGTGCTAATCAGCTGAGGTCCATGTGTGGACATATGTACACCTTCATATTCTCTCAAACTTCTAAAACACTTGGTATCAGCACACATGAGACTGTTTTCAGGTCCTACAGAATGGCAGTCACCACATCCAGAGAGCTGTTAGCCCAAGAATGACCGCAAGTTTGCAGTTACTTGGTCCCAACGTTACAGGAAGCCATGGGAGAGGCTTGTTGTTGTTTGTAGTTCAGGCTTGTGCTTGTCCCTGCCATGACCCCACCTCCAAGAGTTCGGATGTCTCAGGATAGACCGGAGCTCAAGGGGAACACGGTAGTCAAGAGTTTTCAGTTTCTCAATTTGGAAGACTTCAGAGGCAGTTAAAATGTCAAGACTGGAGTCTTCCATTTGTAGTGTCTCCCACTAATGTCTCCATTGGGTTTGCGAACATGTCATATGGTGAATCATAGCAATGACTTATTTGGAAGGACACTTACCAAAGATTTTCTTAACTTTAATTTGATCCTAAAATAGGAAAGAAACCATATTCAGAGGCCACCCATCAAACATATTTTTTTTCTGCCCAACAGTGGGTGGTCCTTTGAAACAGTAGTTCCTCTAGTAATAAGGCAAATCTAGTTTGTTCCTAAATTTTTTGAGTTAGCAGAAAAATAATCCAGAAAAAGCCCAACAAATTTTTTTAAGGGAAGAAAAAAAAGATGCAGTGGAGGTTCATGCTTTAGACTAACTACTGGTTTCTCTCATTTAATTCTGTCCAGCCTTCTACCCATGTCTCCTTTTCCCATTTGTGTTGTAGGTTAAGACTCATTAGGAGCCAACCATATTTTATAGTGCCATTTGGGGTCATAAAATTCAGTTTTGGTCAACAAGCCTGGCCGTGGATTTCCAATCCTTGCCTGAACATCAATCCTCCTGTGTGCCAAATCTCACCACCTCCTTGAGGAACACACCCTCCACCATCTGTGTCCTTTTCTCTTCCCTTCTATCTTTCCACCTGCTCCCTGCTGATTCCAACCAGAGGATGCTGTAGGTGAGAGGGAGCCTAGCAGAACACGGAGCACAGTAGAGTTGGTTGTGGTCATGCAGCAGGAGTAGACTGCATAGCACTGGAACCTTCTGAGAGAATGGCAGTGCATCCCTTTCCATGGCCTGTTACCGCCACCTCGAGCAGAGGAGCCAGTATTCCTGATGTTCCCTTCACTGAAGACTGAGGGGACCACAACATGTCACTGAATTTTCCTCAGATTAAGAGACAACCGTTAGAACCATTGAAACAGCACAAATAATATCAGAGTCTACAAGACAAGAAACGGTAAGTTCCCTGGAAGCATCTAGACTAAAAGAGATGGTCACACCAGAACAGTAGCTGCTGCCTGTCCCAGAACTAGGAGGAGGTGTTTGAACTGGAGCCACCAGAGAAAGGCTCGATTTCATTAGTTAACCAGGCCTGATTTTTAAAGCCAATATTTGCAATGGTTTTCTTTCAAGAAACTCTTGGCTTTACAGTTCTGGTATATTTAGGAATATCATCTAATTTGGAAATGGCTTCTTTGGTTGTAAGGTAAACATGTTCTTTTCTCACAGCTGTCATATACATGGAATTTAAAAGAGGAACTTAACATGGGGAACAGCTTTCAGATCTACAATGGCATGTGTTTGAGGAATTTTGCCTTTAAGCATGTTTTCTTCCACGTGTTTGAAATACCCCTGGATCTCTTATTACTTCAGTGGTTATGTGATTTTTTTTTTGGGGGGGGGGGGAGGGTATTTGAAAGTACAAAGGGGGAAATGGATGCCAGGTTTTTTTGGTTACTGCTTATTAGGTAGCAAATGAAGAGTTCCCTACTGTTGGGAATGTGGGTGTTTTAATACTTTGCAGAATCTTAATAATTCTCGAAATCTGAGATGTTCATTTTCTTCACCAAATGGAACAAGTTCTTCAGCCACATTCTTAATACCCTAAATCAAATTTATAGTCAAGTGCCAGTGACGCTGATGCTTGGAGGATTTGATTAATGTGATAACTGTGAACTTGGTAACTTCCCCAGTGTCATGCCTTCTAAGCCACCTCATGTGTTTGCAAATGACTTTTTAATAGATTGATGTTAGTTTTTTAATATCTATAAACAAGAAATGTCTGGGAGCAATCAGTACACATTTTCGCTGCCGCTGGAGATTAACTGTCATCCAGATATGTATATAATTGTTAAAAACAAAGAAGCAAACTTTGGGGGGCGGGGGGTAAATGCTGCCATTTGTTTCTTCATCTTAATACTAGAGAACTACAGAAAATGTACTTTCGTTTATAAAAGTTTATAAAAGACAAACGTCATAAAAAAAAAAAAAAAGACCTTCAGTATTTTGTTTTATAGAAAATATAGCATATCTGTGAATGAAATATCCCAAGATTTATCTTTGGAACAACAATGACAACAATGTGGTCACATGTAATTGTCTGCTTTTGATGTCAGATTGGGATTTTAGCATGGACTGCTGATTTTTGGAAGAGCTAGGTGAGGGCAGAGGACATGAGAGAAGGGAACGTCTTTGCCCAAGGGAATGGCCGACCGTCAAGGTTTCTAGCTTCTTTCGATTCCCTTTTGGCAGGTCCCATTGCAGTATTTCCATGAAATTGCTGTGAGTGGTCCTCCTTTTGAGGTCAAAAGCAGCTTACCTAGGAGCCCAAAACGTCTCTCTTCAGCATGCTTTGACTTGAATATGGAAATCATTTAGATTTTTTTTTTTTCTTATGAGGAAATTTCCATGCTTGGTTTGTCAAGACAAGAGAGTTCATTCCTTGTTATTGAAACACGTTGGAGCAAGTAAAAAATCAAAATTAAGCTGATTTCTTTTAAATAGTTTAAAGCCTTCCTTAGAATGAAATAAATTAAGTGTTGTAAATGAAGTTAATTCAACTAATTACTCAGTACAAAGTCTGATCATATATGTCACTATATATTATGATTTTAGGGTATAATTAAATTCTCAGAAATTTGCAGAATTCTAATTTGGTTTCTATATTTATTTAGCAGAACAAGGAACAAATATATGTCAGTATGTAGCTTAGCAGAGAAGACTGGAATGAATGAAAATTATTCTCGTTAACTGGAATCAATACTGGGCTGAATTTAATCACATTCTAATAAGTTTCATTATGCTTCATAATGTTACCATGTGTTGCCTTATAGTTGCCATTATTGTTCCTTATGAAAAATCTTGGTTCTTAAACAAAAATCAGTAAAGCTGTACATTTGACCTAAAAATGATTGATGAAGTAAGTAATTGCTGTGTGACTTAGATGGATCCCTAGAAAACTTTCTTCAGTCAAGTTAGAAAGTCAAACACAGTGGTAGTCACCAGGAGAGTGCTTTCCTCCAATTGTCCTGATCCTCTCATTTGTTTTGTTGTAAAGTACTTACTTTAAATAGCTTTTACATGCCTATGGAATGACACATTATGTAAATGGCTACAAATCTATTTTATGAATAAAAAGCAAAATTGCTTTACAAATTATATTGGTTCATATCAGTTTTGTTCTTCAAAACAAGTGAATTAACCACAAGAAGATACACCCCACGTTCTTTTCAGAATGCTGCTTAAAATTATGTTCCATTTGTTAGACTTTTTCCCTCCTGAATGCAGTTCCAAGGTTTTGAATACTTTATTAAAGTATCCAAAGAAGCCTTACATTTAAACCACTGAGTCTAACTAACAATTTAGGTGTAAAAAACCCAGTGTGTAACAATTAAACTGGCCTTTCAGATTTGGGGGTGCTCCTTAAAACGTTGGGTACTCCCGTTGCTGCTCCCACTTCTGATCTTAGACCTCTTGTGAATAGTTAAAAATAAGCATGTGACCTGGAATGCCTTCCAGAGAATCTTGATGTTTCCCAAGTGGGTTCATTTCCATTCCTAAGTGGCTCTAATCCTTATTCAGCATTGCTGGAGCCCTAGACTGACTTTATCTGCATTGTAATCAGTACCCCCAAAGCCTCTCTGGATGCTTGTAAAGACATTTCGCCCCAGATCTGGTACAGAAGTTTTCAGAAGCATTTTAATGTCAAATTAGAATAATGTCTTTGCCTAGCTGTGGATGACATTCTGAGAACCACTGAGAACTATTGCACTTGTTGAGGCAAAGCTTCGTCATGGCAGCTTGTGTCCCAACCCACAGGAAGGACTTTTTCCCCTTGGCCTAGGTCCTGGCTGGGTATCCAGAGACTACAAGCCAAATACCTTCAGTCTAGACTACTGCTTTACCACTAATCAGTTTTTGTGATTTAGAACAAATCATTTAACCTCCCGGACCTCGATTTCTTCAGCTGTCCGATAAAATGATAGTTAACA